TCAGGGCATGCCTACCAGATTGGGACTCTTAAAGTATGTCTACCCTATGTCCCCAGAACTTTTGGGAAGGGATGCTCTGAGCACACCCTGCCCAACCTACTCCTGCTCACATGCACCAAACCTAGAAATGAGGCAGTGAAGATGCCCTGGGGGTGCCCCTGCACTACTTCTTCTTGCATACTGTGGCTTACTGCGCTGAAGCAAGAGACGGGCATCACCACAGGCATGTAGGGAAATCTCAAATGAAACAGGAAGTCACCTAGGAAATTTAGGCACTTTCAGGGTTAGGTGTCTGCAATTATGGACATAGGATTAGGCACCTGTGTTTGTTACAAGGTATAGCATGGTACTTTTATGTACCTAATTATCATTAAAAATCTGGCCTAGAGAGACTAAGTGACTTGGCCAAAGTCCCAGAGTTTGCTGAATTTAGCACAAGTGTTTGTTTATTATAAACTCCTGGAGGCCTTTTCCATATACTCATACAAGTACATCACAAACATTAAGTTAGCTTCATACTTCCTCTGTAAGATGAAAAATGTAAGTCATTACTTAAGTGAATCAAGAGGTAAAAATGTATTTCCTTTAGACCACTCAATAAAGTAGGGCCAAGTATATACAATGCCTGCTCTAACTAATAGATCACAATTCCTTCATCAGATGTTTATTAATCATTTATTATAGAATGTGGCCATGCCACCAATTTTAGGCATTAAGTTATATGTAAAGCAATGGTAAAGGCTATTACTTAAATTGTATTTAATTTTCTGAATTTTTTCTGAAAATCATCTAGATGATGACATATATATCTGCATATAATTAAGGAGTTTGGTGGGAAGCTAGAACATCAATCATAGAGGCACAATCCACTTGAGTATAAAAAGTATATCAAGAAGGCATGGTCAAAGCATGCCAGCTTACACAACCAATACTGTTGCACCAGGAAGCAATGTGAGTAGCATCGCATCCAGCCACCTGTAACTCTGTTATGCAATAGGTACCCATTTAAAGCAAAGTTACCTGAGGGCAACATTCAACAAAAGAATTTCATTGTTGGCAATCCCTCGATTTGAGGATGCTGTCCATGGCTCATTGATAGGTCTTGAGGTGACTTAAGAGTCCCTTAAGAATCCAGTCCTTGACCCACAACCTAAACACAGGTTTTTCCACAGGTGAAAGTAGGCCATAGGCCAGGATTTTTCTCCTTTTCCTTCTTCCACTCTCTCTCTCCTTCCTTCTTGAATGACAAGATGCTTTACCTGGAAATGGGCAGCCACTTGGTTGAAGTTGCAGCGCTATTGGAGTCAGTCAGCAGCCAGCTCCTTTCAAGTCTTGATGTTGGCATCTGGTTTCTTGAGGTATGCCATCAGCATTTCCTCTGGCCACTGTAAGGTCTCAGGCCATTACTAAGTTGGGAGTTGAGCACTTGTTTCGAGGGTTGACAGTCAGGCATCCACACACAATGTCTGGTCCAGGAAAGTTGGTGCTTGAGAATCACTGACTCAATGCTGGTAACACTGGCTTCAGAAAGGATGCTGGCATTTGTATGGTGATCTTCCCATTTGATGTGAAGGATTTTCCAGAGACATTGTTGGTGATACTTCTTCAGGCTTTTGAGATGACCATGGTGGGTCACCCACATTCCACATCCATAGAGGAGAGTGGGGTAATGACTGCATTTTAGACCTGGATCTTGGTATCTTTCTAGAGACCGTGGTGACTAAAGACATGCTGAAGCAATTTACTAAAGGAGTCACTTGTGCACTGGATCCTGACCTGGATCTTCTCATCAACATTCTCTCTCTGAGAGAGGAGGCTACTAAGGTAGGGGAAGTGCTTGACCACCTCCAGGGACTTTCCCTCAATGGTAATTTGGGGAGGGGGTTCACACTGGTGGCCCAGATCAGGCTGATAAAAAACTTTAGTCTTCTTGATGTTGAGAGAGAGGCCCAGAGTTCAAAAGGCTTATCTGAAAAGATCCAGTGTGGTCTGGAGGTTTTCCTCAGTGTGCTCAAGTATGGCACAGTTGTTGGCATATTGAAGCACAAGGACAGTTGTTTTGACTACTTTGACCAAAAACACCCCAGATTAAAGAGCCCTCCATCCATTCAGTATTCAAATGCCAGTTCCAGAAGGAAGGTGGTCTTCAGTGAGAACCAAGATGACCATTAGAAAAATGGAGAACATAATTGGAGCAATGATACATCCTTGCTTTACCCCAGTTCAGATGACAAACAGATCTGTCTCCAATCATCTGGAGGTAATCAAAAACAGTCATCTGGTTATGGAAAAGCCTCAGGACCTTAATGTACTTTTCTGGACATCTAAATCTAGCCACAAGGTTTTGTGACTGATGGAAACAAAGGCCTTAGTGAGGTCAATAAAGATCATATACAGGTCCTGGTGTTGTTCCCAACACTTTTGTTGGACCTGGCAACAAAGATCATGTCAATTGCCCCACTGGATAGTCTGAAAGCACATTGAGATTTCAGCAGGACTTCCTCAGCAAGAGGTAGAAGATGGTTCAGGACAAGGATTTTTCCCTGCTGTGAAAGCAGAATGATACCTCAATAGTTCTCACACACAGACTTATCTCCTCTCCTGAAGATAGTCACAAAGTTAGCATTGCTCAGCTCCCCAGGGCTTCATTGTTCTAAATGTGTAAAAATAAATAGTGGAGTCTCAGTAGATTGCAGCCTTGTAGATTTCAGCAGATATACCATCTGGGCCAGTAGCCTTGTTGTGCTTTGTTTCCTTGATGGCATGCTGCCTTTTCTCTAGGATGGAAGGGTTGGCAAGGGATCCCTTTTCAGGGTGTTGTAGGGTAGATTCAGTGGTGGTGGACTCACAGTTCAGGAATGCCTCAAAATGCTCTTTCCATCCAGCCTGGATAGATTCATTGTCTTTGAGGAGGGTGAAGCCAACCTGCAATCGCAGGAAAGAAGCACCATGGGAAACTGGGCTGTAGATGACCTTTGTGGCCCAGAAAAAACTGTACATGTCATATTTGTCAACATAGAGCTGGCTTTCTTTGATTTTATCTTGCCACCACTGATTTTTGATTTCCCAGATCTTCCTTTGAGCTCTGTCTTCTGCTTAGATAAGGTGTTATTTTGCCAAACAGAATGAGCCCTTCTCTTCCAGTTGAGAGAGGCTTGGATCTCAGCATTGCTGTCATCGAAATACCCTTGAACCTTTGTGTCAATGGGTGTGTAGTAGGTTCATGTTCCAGGTGGAATCCCTGCCTGGGTCCAACTCCAGTGTGTCCTCCCCTTCTTACTTGCCCACCATGTCTTTGAGGTAACTGTTTTAATGGGGGTGTTGGCATAGAACTAACATTCGTGACATATGTGGCTATCAGAGAACTGAAGCAGTTGTGACGTGTATTGTTTACCTTTTTTTCTTTCTTTTTGTTTTTTATGAAATTTTCATAGATTTCATAGACATTAGGGCTGGAAGGGACCTCGGAAGATCATCGAGTCCAGCCCCCGGTAATATAAGATAATATAAATAATTATATTATTGTATATAATAAAATAACTATTTTATTTTAATAGTTATTATTTATTATTAATATTAATATTGTTGTTGCTTATTTTTATTATTTTATTATTGTCAGTTGAAACATTTTACTGTTATTATTAACTGGATTCTAGTGTTATTACTTGGATAGTTTTTTGTTGTTTTTTTTTAATGGTTCCTAGAACAAAAAGACCCTGCACATCTCCAGTTAATGCAACGCCCCCTATAAAACAAAGTAAACTTGACCCTTATTTGATAAAAAAATCAAACTTTAGATATGAATAGTCCACAAGCATATCTATCAACATCAAATTCTGTTGCTCATTCAGATTTGGGTGCCAAGATGGTCCTTGATTTTGATTCCTTATTACGTAAGGATAAACCTTTACAGGAAGGCATATCTGGACTAGAAAACAACTCTAACTCACAGACAACTGAAAACATCAGAGACTTTCTTTCTATACTTGCAGACCATGCCCTCTTGACAGCTAAAGCTATTCAACAGATCTTCTCTTGAACGGAATTGTTATATTGCAAAATAGGAGATCTAGAAGTAATGTTAAGAGGGGCTAAGGACAACTTGAGTGAGCAACAGCACCTTGTTCAGAAAAGAAATTTTATTAGAGGGCAACAGAATGACAGGGATAACAGAAACCCAGACCAGCCAGAGGTTGCGGGGAATACAGATCTCTCAAAAAATACCAATCAGACTACCCCCATTTATCAAGGGGGGACAGGAAATGCCATTTTAATAAAAGATATTATGGCTGTAATAGTATTTCCCCTACCCAATAGTTATATTCCCCTTTGGAATACTCCTGGGAGGGTCATCCAACATCTGCAAACTTTACTGTCCATGAAGGAGGGACGTTAAAAAAGTAACACAATTGTGGCAGGCTTACTGATAGCAGCTGAGCATGTCCAGGCTCAGAGAATCCTCACTGTGATTGGCTTGCAGCCTGGGACACAGTGCACGGAGCCGTTGCTCTGTGAATATGCAGATTAGGCAGAGACAAAGCTCCAGCAGGTTCCTTACTGAAGGTATCTGATGTCAGACTGGGAGTTGAATTTTGCTTATTTCCTGGTAGCAATGAAATTTAGATTTCCAAATAGCTAATTACAATGTCTTCTCTGTTTCAGGGATATAGCTTGTAGCCATGTTGGTCTAAAAAGCAGAGGCAGACAAAATTCTTGGGCTAGAAGCAACTTTTTCACAAATGGACTTTGAAACCCAGGGAAACCACGCTGTCATTTACCTCCCTGTGCAAGATGAAGTTTCTTTTCTACCTGGGAGACCTTTTACTTTCTCCTCTGCCTGATGAAGGGCATTTGGACCCAAAAGCTTGCAAAGAAACAATTTTTTTTGCTACTATTTAGTTGGTCTGTAGCAGGGAGGTGGAATCCACCCCTGCTACGCTTACCTGGCAGATGAGCTGATGCCAAAAAATAAGTGGAGAGGCTAAAATAAACACAAGCACGGCCCTTTTTAACTGGACACAGGAGAGTGATGTCAGGGGCTTGCAAAATTTAAAAAGGACACTGGGACTCCAGGGAAGTGGGGAAGACTCCCAATCACAGGGAATAGAGGACAGACCCCAGGACAGGAGTCAGGATGGGGGACAATACTTACTGGTGCCAGTGTGGAGATGTTGGTGGGCAAACTCTGGAGCTGCAGGCTCAGCAGGCAACACCAGACAAAGACGACTCATAGGAGCTTCCCAGAGCACTGACAGCACAAGACTCTCTGTACCTGCAAGAACCAAAAGTGCTGTGTGACCCTTCTGGGTTTTATCAGAAGGGAGGAAACAAAGTCCCTCTCCATTCACCCACCAGAACTTGATCAAGAAAATAAATATATGAAAAGGGAGGCTCCAATAATGGACGGCTTTTTTCCCTTTGATGGAGGGATTTTTCCTTTTGGCATATTTCTTGGGGCCCCACCTCCCCTACCTTCCTTCCATATGCCAACTGAGATGTTAAACAGGTGGTGTTTCCTGCTGCCAAATCAATGACATAGCCTGTGGCCATCATTATTAGGCCATATGCAGGACTGTAAAGTTAAACTGGAAGTATCAAGAACTTGGCTATTCCTCTTTAAAGTCACATTAACATTGTCAAGCTTAGAGTGATAACGTTATTGGCAAAGTCCAATAGTCCCTTGCCACTCTCAACTTGAATTAATTTTAACTAATGATTGATGTATAGTAATACACTGTCAGCATATCTGATCTTTAAATATTAAAAAAAAAGAACACACGAACTGAAAAAGTAAACATCATCATGCAGCACCCTATGTCTGGCACTATGCAAGGTTCAGACTCACGTGACCAATCCAGACTGCTGTTTACAGGTCTGCAATCCTGCAGTCATCTTAACTCTTCAGGCTCATCTGCCCTGTGAGTGAGAACTCCTCCGAGTCCTTTCTTGACAAGCTCCCCAGTAGAACTCCAAAGCTTCTTGCTTCTAGGATTACTGGAGCCTGGAGCTGTTCCTATGGTCTTCACTCAGCTCAGCAGCACAGACTCGGGTCCAAGTCAAAGCACGGGGTCTCTTGCAGCTGCATCCCTCCTGCTTTGGCTCCTGGTGGTCTTTTGTCACCTCCAGCATTCCAATTCCCTGTGCTTCCGGGCACTTCTTTTCTACATCACTCCCTGCATTTCCTCCAATGTGCAAGGAGTACATGCTTTTAAAATGGCATGATGGTGGTGTGTGCTGCTCTTGCTTCTCTACTCTGGTACCTGCAGGTAAGTTTAGCTTGTCACCAGCCTTCCCAGGCTACTGTTCCTCATGGGATGGGGCCATTTTGGGCTGAAACCACCCCTCTCCCTAGGTGAATGGCCAGCTAATCACTCTGACCGGCGACATGGTGGTTTCAGGCATAAACCGTAAGTAAGAAGCTACTGGGCACATGGCAAGATGTGACCCAGGTGTTGAGAACCCTGGTTGGAGAGGACTATAACTGGTGAGTGGCAGTAGCCCTTGGGTAAAGAGATAATTCAGTCGCTGTCAGAGACAGGGTTGTACCCATGTTGTGAACAATAACAGCATGAGAAGCCACCCCTGAAGAGACAGCGACCCTAAGAAGGCAGGTTGAGTGTGACCAGTGATTTTTTTGGCTTAAAACAGCCTTGTTTGTAGCAAAGGGACTCCAGGACATTGCAGGCAGGGCCCAAGAGGCAAAGGGGAACCCCAGAAAGAGGAAGATTGATGAAAGGTTGCCAACGCCTCATTGTGTGTTGCTGATTTGGTTTGCTCTTATAACAAGTGATGACAACTCTTTAAGTTACTACCTTCACTGGCAACTTAATAAATACAGGGAACAAGATGTGGAGACTGTTAATTGTCCTTAACTGAACATCTAGGTCCAGATGGCAAACAAGATCCTCACAAGCCCTTACTAAAAGATTTGTTGACCAACCAGTGCCATTAAGATCGGAGGGTGGAGACGGACACGGTGTAGGGATGGTGAAGCCATGTGCTTAGACCCTATCCAACATCAGGGTCTCAGACCTAACGCAGCTTTGCACGCTATATTTTTCCAACAATTAATACATCAAGGCATGGCAGGAAAGGGTGAGTCAAGCTGCCCACACAGGAGAGCTCCCTACTTCTGTTATTATAGGGTATAATAAGAAGTATAGCCTCTAGTTTTGTCTGCGTCTGCTTTTTAGACCAACTCAGCTACAAGCTATATCTTTTAAAGTTTAGGCTTACACATGGTTAATGGAGAGACAGGCCTGTCACGTCCCTTTGGAAGTGCTAACTTCTTGTCTCAGGGAAAGTGGGGGGAGGTATTGGTTGTCTACCAAAGCAAAAACCCAAAGAGAGGAGGGTATTGGTTGGTCTAAAGATATAGGCAGACAAGTTTTTTTGGATAAATGTGATATTTTTTATTAGACCACCTGAATAATTGGAAAAATTGTTCTTTGCAAATGTTTGGGCACAGACACCCTTCTTCAGGCAAAGGAAGTCTGCTGCTCTTTGTCTTCTCTCTAGGGTCTGAATAGAAGCTTAAGCCAATATGCAAAATGCATCTGTGAAAATGCAAATACATGCTTAGAAAGATCTGAGGGAATAGGAGTTAATAGGTGTGAGACAGCCAGCTTGGTGGGGTGGGGAAATGTTGACAGGTACTAAAATGCAGCTGGGAAATGTAGAGGTTGCCTGGGGTTATCGGATGGCCAACAGGTTATAATGTGCCATAAATCCAATGTCTATATTTAGTCCATGATTTTTTTTATTTAGTGGTTTTATGAAGTGAAATTCATAGGCTCATCTACAAAAGGTGCTTTGTAACTTCCCTTTGAGGATTAGAACTGAGAGATTGGAGAGAGTGGTTATCTTATGAGAAATGTGTACCCAGAGGTAATTGGGTATTTTTATCTTTTATACATTTCTGATGTGCGTTCATTCTTGTACACAGTTGCTTGTTTTCTCCAGCATAGTTTCCATCCATTAGTGCAATGAATGAGATATATAGCATTTCTGGAGGTGCAGGTGTAAGATTCAGGATGATGGGTCTGTTGTGGGGCATAGTTATTGTTGGGGTGGTGGAGATGTGCTGGTAGGTTTTACATTTCTTGTCTTAGCATGGTCTAGATCAGGGGTTGGCAATTATTTTGGCTGGAGGGCTGCTTAATGAGTTTTGCTGAGCTGTTAAGGGCCACAAGGATAGCCCCACCACTTGGTAGGTGTCCCACGCCCTGGTTGCCATCTTGGGACAGAAGTCCTGCTCCTAACCCCAGAAGTACTCCTTTGTGGGAGGAGGTTACCATCTTGGAACCGGAAAAGAAAACCAAATCATATACTAAAAAAATCAAACATCTACTATAACTTATTTTCATTTTATTTAAAAAATATGTTTGTCCTGATTTGTGTTATTTCCATAGTGTATATAGAGGCCATTGCATATTAGCTCAAAATACAGTCTTACTCTTGTATATTGTGGGGGGGGGCAGGGAAGAATAAAGGGGTGTATGTGAGGGGAATGTGGGGGTATGGTTGGGGTGTGTGGGGGGGTGTAGGTATGGTGTGTGCAGTGTGTGCATGAATATGTGGGGGAAGGATAGAGGTATGGTGTGTGTGGGGGGAGATGAGGGTGTTAGTGTTGGTGTGGGGGGTGTGGGTCTAGGACATGTGGCTGGAGTGGGAGATGTGTGCATGGGTATGGTGGGGGGTGGAAGTGTGTGTAGAGGGGGTATTGTGGGGTGTGTGGGAGGATATAGACGTGTGTCAGAAGGTGGGCCCATGGAGTCCCTGGAGTGTGCAGGTCCCCAGGACTGCATGTGGTGGCAGTGAGTGAGACTAACTGACCCATCCCATAGTGTACGGCTCCCATGTTCTTGCCTGAGTCCCTAGCTACATGCAGTGGCCATAAGCAGAACCAGCCCAGACTGGCTTTATAGCACTCCTGCCCAAGTCCCTGGCTGCATGTGGTGGCAGCAAGCAAGACGAGTCCAACCCAGCCCCATACCATGCATTTCCATGTGTGTGCCCAAATCCCTGGTCACACATGGCAGCAGCATGTGGGGTAACCCCCACCTGGCCCCATAGGGTGCAGCTCCCACACTCCCGCCCAAGTGCCCGGCTGTACGCAGTGGCAGCATGCAGGGCCCGCCTGACCCAGTCCTATAGCGTGCAGGTCCCTGCACTCTGGACTCCCTTTCCCGCAATGGGACTCTCTGGCCCCCAACCCAGAAGGGCCCCCACCTGAATTTTCACACTCTCAGGGAAGGTTGTGAAGCATGGAGGGAGGCTGGGAAACAACTACCGGGTCTCCAGGCAAAAATCTCTGCCAGGCAGGGGTGGGGTTTGGTTGTTTAACAACCAGAGCCACATCTCCTGCATGGAGGCACTGGCTTTCAGAGGGGTGGCTGACTGCTAGGACCCGTGATAATTCTTTCAGTTTACAGATGGGTCCTGCAGGCCAGATGGAATTGCTTGGCTGGCCAAATCCATCCCACAGGCCATATTTTGCCTACCCCTGGGCTAGATCTGTTCAGTGTGCTTTAGGCTATAGGAAGTTTGTTTCTGCTAATGAGGTTGGTGAGGTTCAGTGCCTGTTTAAAAGTTGGGTGGGTGGTTCTGAAAAGAGCTCTTTAAGAACTGGGTCTTCTTCTAGTATGGGTTGCAATTGTTTGAGGATTTTCTGTATAGGTCCCAGTGAAGTGGGGTATGTCATAACTAATGGTGTGCAATTCATGGGGATTTTCTTTTTGTACTTGTCTCCTTGTTTCCTGCTTTGTGTTGGAGATTTAAAGGCTTAAGGATGAAATGAGAAACATTTTTTCTTTGTCAGAGATCTCCACTGCCAACCTTTCAAATTATTAAAGTTTACTAAAAATATTTTACCCTCCTGCCCAAATGAGAGAGACAGAATTAAATCTTGAAATTCGAGTTTATTAAACACTTTTCTGTAAAAGCACTGGGTACCAAAATATTAATTCCCTAGTATGTTAATTGTTTCACAATACCTAAATTGAGGTCTATTTGCATTCCCATGATAAGTGATTAATTAAGGTATCTAGCAGTGCTAATAATGTGGGGCCTGAAAGTTGTCTCAGGTGGAAAAGCAATCAACTATTTCCACCTCTACAATGTAGGTGTAAAAACTTACTTGGAATTTTTACTCTTGTTTTTTCAGAGACTTTCTCTGTGTGCAAAGCAATGGAGAATCAGGACCATGAAATCCGTGTCTATGTATTAACCAACAATTATTAACCTACTTTGTGAAAAACAAAGTCTAAGAACAC